GTGCCTATCACATAGTAAATACTTACTGACATATAAAGGATAGATATTAGAAAAAAAACTCCTAAACTATTGAAAATGTGGGTACACAGGAGGTTTTAGAGAGAAGGGGAGGATAAAATAATACAATAATATTATGATTAGAAAAAATAAAAAAATGTATTTTAAAAACTTTCATAAAAACAAGAAGAAAAAAATGGAACTACAGGAAGCATTTTATCTCATTTAATTTGAAAACAGTAGCATAAAGTACACTCCCGGCTCCTGTTTAACAGACGAGGAAAACGAGGCAACTTGTTAAGGCTGTGCAGTCAATAGAAGACAGAACATGAACTGAACACATTAAGGTAGTAGCTATGCGTATCATGATAGCCTTGTCATCGCCACCATTGTCAGTGCATTCTGCTATCTCTGTAGCAGACGAGGCTATGAAAACGAGCTCCTGGGTACTTCCAAAGATAATTGCCTCCCCTTGGCAGGAATCCAGAACAAGCCCACATTAAGCTAAATTCTGCCTTAGAGTGGGCTGTCATACAGTTGGGAGGATTTATTCCAAGCACCTAGAAGGCACATGAAAGATGAATACATAGAAGTCAGCAGATTCTATTCCCTTTGAACACATCCCAGTGCTGAGGAGGAAGGGAGCAAAATCATCTCATCCATACGCCAAGGCATTCTTAAATATCCACGCAACTGACTCACCTGACCGTCAACCCACGAGAAAGCAACAGCAAAGTGATGCCCGCACCACATGAAATGCCGTCTCCTTTGTTAATGAATAATTAAATTTAAGAGAATTGTATGCAAACACATGAGCCTATATTGATGGGGGTAAGAATCAAAAAGTAGAATTTTCCTAAGTTAAATTCTTTTAAGCTGTTTATTCAAACTACTTCCTCATCAAATCACCTTATCTAATTATAAAAACTTATCTAATTATAAAAAAGATTTGGGATACAGGGTCTTAGCTGGGGCCATCCTAGTGGATTATAGGCAATAGTGGAGAGGGTGCTCAAACTGGCATTGCCCTGTATTCAGATTGATGATTGTCTTAAATATCACCATAGTACCTTCATCCAGCAACAGATGGAAACAGAGGCAGAGTCCTATATCGGAGTACTAGACTGAGCTCCCAAGGTTCATTTGAAGAGTAGAAGGAATGAGAATATGAGCAAAGAGGTCAAGACCATGAAGGGTTCATCAGCTGAAACAGTTTACCTGAGCTAATGGGAGCTCACCAACTCCAGCTGAACTGGGAAAAAACAAGCATAGGACCAAGCTAGTTAGTCCCTCTGAATGTGGTTGACAGCTGTATGGCTGAGATAGACTGAGGGGCCACTGGCAGTGACACTGGGATTTGTCTCTGCTGCATTTACTGGCTTTTGGGGATCCTATTCTCTTTGGATATATACCCTGCTCAGCCTAGATGTAGTGGGGAAGGCCATGAACTTTCTACAGGGCAAGGTGCCTTTCCCTCTCTTAGGATTGGAGGGGGTGGCATCAGAGGGTAGATGGAGGGAATGGGAGGAGGGGAAGGAGTAGGAATTTGGATTGATATTTTTTTAAAGAAAAAAATCTAACAAAAAAATGTTTGGGATATAAATTAATAGTGAATATATATTTTCTTAAATAAAACTTCAAAGATTTAAGGTCATGTCTGTGTGCTATCATTATTTTGAAACATTACTATCAAGAGTAATTTCACAGAAATATCATAGTCTATCCCCCAAAAAGGATTCCAGATAAACTGAGTAAAGAATAATATGAATAATATTATTTTTCAAAATCAAAAAAATGATTTTATTTTATGGTAGTATAAAACTTTCAACATTTATTAATTAATAAATTTTAACATTTATTTTCACAATTGTCACTAAAGAGACAATTTGAAGTATGTCATGATGACAACGCTAGTCTATATGAGCACTTTAAGAATTCAGATACATTTTAAGCAAAGGGCTTTACGCTTAAAAAGTCACAATTCATATGTGTGTATCGGTAGCATATATGTGATGTATATGCTTATGTGTGTTTGTTCATGTGCCTGCACAGACAAAAGACCAGAAAAGAGCTTGGGGTGTGTCCTGCTCTATCACCCTTCAGCTTATTATTCCCTTGAGAGAGATCTATTGAACCCAGATTTACACTGGAGTCCACTGAGCTCCAAAAACCATCTTCATTTCTTTGCCCCTGTATAGCACTGGAGTTGAAAACAGGCCACCACACGGGTTTTTATATGGGTTCTAGAAATTTAAACTCAGGTCCTTGTTGTTGCACAACAAAAGTTCTTATCCACAGAACCACAGCCTCATACTCCCAAAGATGGCTGTTGTTATTATTATAATTCCTTCCATAGAACACCACTCATCACAGCTGAGGGTCAGGGATCTGGCAGTGCCACCCAAAAGCCTTCTCCCCTTCCTTACCTAAAGTAATTCTGTAAAAATTTACCTGTTTCCTTACTACGATCTGTGAAGTTAGTGTAGACCTTAACTACTGACCATATGGCTTAACAGAGCTGTGAACCTTTTGCTCTCTCAGTACCTAACTCATCTATGATTGAGATGAATTTTATCCTCAGTATAAAAGGACCAACAACACAGTATCTAAACATAAATGATAATGCTTCCTGGGATAATCAGTCTGCGTATTTTCTGCTTGAAAGAGCTCTTTAGAGAGGTAAAAGTTAACCAAAGCGAGAGCTACTAATAGAACCATCACCTAGAAATACCAGCGTTAAAAGAATGTGTTCAATTTTGCTCACTGGTTAGCTGAAAGAGTCACAAAAAGGAATTCTACCCGTTTCCTTCCCAGCATCTGTTAAGCACTTAAAATAAGGCCCAGGACATCGTGAATGCTGGCTCTTCATTGGAAACATAAAGCAAAAAATCATCCAACTTCAATTTATATGAAAAGCAACAAAAAAAAACATCATCTCCACATTTAACTTCCAGAGGCAGCCCATTTAGGGCTATGCTTGAATATGTATTGAAACACTCAACCTCCCTGTCTCCATTTCTTCTTCAATTAATGAGTACATGGGTATCTCATTGTGTTGTTAGGACTAAACAAGATGTGGCCCTGGTAGAGAGTCTACAAAATGTCATGGTATAAAATAAGCTGCCAGTAAATGTTTAGTCTTCTTTATTAAAACTGGATGTCTTGCTGAGGCACTCAGGTCCACAAAATAAATAATAATGAAGAGAGAGAGAGAGAGAGAGAGAGAGAGAGAGAGAGAGAGAGAGAGAGAGAGAGAGAGAGACTGGTTCACATTCCCTAGCGAATACTGGAAAATACTGAGCATAACTGGTTGTTAGATATAATGATAAATCCTTATCCATGTTTGGGAAGTAGAATATAACTGTCCTAACCCTGCTTTACAGCCCTTCACCAGTTTGGAGACGTTGGAACATTTTATAGACACAGATGGTGAGGAATGAAAATCAAATACAACGATTCTTGAAGCATCCTCAGATAGGTGCAATATTCAGCGTCAGTGAGCACGCCTTTCCTCCCTGGGACTAGTCTCCCTCCTTCCTCACCTTCTATTCTTCTTTAAGGAACTGACCACCTCGGGGGTGCAGGTTCCAGCGGAGCCCTGCACAAGGGCAGGGGTGTAACTCTCAGCAGAATCCTGAGGCCAGGAGCCAGGATGCTGGTGCAGGCAGAGTGAAGCAGCAAATGCAAGCTATGATCTGAGCCCTGTGCAGCTTCCCTTCCTGGATGGTGAAGTCAGAATTCTCAAGTGTAGACGTAGACCAGAAGGACTAAAGAAGGTTACATTACCAGCTATACTGGCTGAACAACTCCCAGGTGTGCCAGAAGTTACAGGTGAGTCACTGTCCTTCCTTCCCTACTCTACCAGGCCCTGGGTCCAACAGGTTGGCGGGCGCGGGGGGGGGGGGGGACTGCTCTAAGGGGCCAGTAGGCACTCAGCTGATCTCACCTGCTCTCTTGAACTTGGCTTCTCCTTTAACCGTGGGGTCGCTGTTATTTAAACCCTCGCCTCAGCCCACGCTTGTTCTATTCCTTGTCTTTCTGCCTTCCTCCTTTTCCTTAAGTGAGAGCTCGCCTTTGTGTTGGAGAATGCGCCCAGAATGACTCTTCTGAGAAAACTTAAGAAGTGTGCAGTGTTCTCCGTGCTCAAGGGCACCCAGCAGACTGGAGCCCCTCAGTTCATAATGACCCACTGCCCACTGGAACTTCAACTAAAAAACAAAAATAATAACTAGCCTTTTTATTGAAGTAGGAGCTCAAAACCTAAGGGAGGAGGGAAGAACATCTAGCATGAAAGACAGATGGGAACCAGAGAGAAGTGGGAGGAAATCTTGAGTCGGGCACCCCAGACATGCCCCCCCCACGTGTTCACAGCTCTAGAGAACATCACAGAGTGAACCCCTTGCAATAGAAGAGGGACGTTATAAATCCTAGAGTTAGAACTCAGATCCTGCTGTCGCCACCAGTTTCACAACTTTTCGCCTGCAACTGGATAAAAGCGAGGGTCACCATCCCGCTTCCCAGGCACCTGACAGAGTCCTCCTCTCTGCTTCGGCCCTCCAGATCTTCGCGTCGCCCCCCTGCCAGCTCCTCCATCAGAATCGCCAGCTATACTATCCATACACAGTGTGGGGTCTCAATTACGAAGTTGAAAGAAGGCTGTGCCTGTATCTAGGAAGAGCCACCGCCACCGGGACATAGCTTGTGTCCTGGCTGTTTCCTTCCTGGACGACACCTGATTGCATGACCAAGGGCTCCCTCTGCGCGCGCGACCACTCTTGCTCTCCCAGCCTCCTCGCTCTACCGCGCACTCGCAGCTCCCTAGCGACACCAGCCATCAAGCTGGGGGGTGGAGAGAGTCGGGGTGCGCAAGTGGGAGGCCTCTCCCTCGGGAGCCTGGGAGATCCCTGTCGCCAGGAGGGGCCGTGCCACCGCCCTCGCGGGAATCCGAGCGTTGATCCAGAGCCTTCCCAACTTGGTGGTGCCCTCAGACTCAGGTGGTCGGGATGGATCTGTCACCCCGCAACCGGCCGCTGCTAGATTCCTCGTCGCTGGACAGCGGCTCGCTGACCTCGCTGGACTCCAGCGTATTCTGCAGCGAGGGCGAAGGGGAACCCTTGGCTCTGGGGGACTGCCTCACGGTCAACGTGGGCGGCAGCCGCTTCGTGCTCTCGCAGCAGGCTCTGTCCTGCTTCCCGCACACGCGGCTGGGCAAACTGGCCGTGGTGGTGGCCTCCTACCGCCGCCTAGGAGCCCTGGCTGCGGCTCCCAGCCCCCTGGAGCTTTGTGATGATGCCAACCCTGTGGACAACGAGTACTTCTTCGACCGGAGCTCACAGGCATTCCGCTATGTCCTGCACTATTACCGCACTGGTCGCCTGCACGTCATGGAGCAGCTGTGCGCTCTCTCCTTTCTTCAGGAGATCCAGTATTGGGGCATCGACGAACTCAGCATCGACTCCTGCTGCAGGGACAGGTACCCACAGGGCAGGGCGCGGCAGCTGGGTGGGAAGTCAGGAGTCGGGCTAAGAAGAAAGCACAGGCGAAGGCTTGAGGCTTTGTGTAAACTTGCCTACTCCAGAGCCTTGTCAATAGGTCTGTCTGCCTCTTGACTGGAGGCTAAGGGGTTTGCATAAGACTAAAAGTCAATCCTAAAGTCAACTTGTGCGTTGAACGTTAAAGGCAAAAACAGAAACAACAGCAAAGAAACTTCTTGTACCGTTTCTTCCAGAAATTAACATTCTGATTTCTTGTGAAAGCCCAGGCTAATCAGGCTTTAAGTAAGTATCTGGTAATTAATTTAGCTGAGTCAGAAAAAAAAAATGCTTCAAATGATACATAGGAATGAAAGATTTCGGTTTATTGCCATCAAATCAGAATTTATCTGTGAAAAACTTGCTTGAAGGACCTCCTCTGGCCTTTAAAGATATAGGCTCTGACAGTGACTTCCTGTTGACCTGTGACTATTATTACTCCTTCAGGGATATTTTTCTTTTATACACACAAATGTTCCAGTGGCAAACAGATGTTCTTGTCACCAAAAATTAAGTCACAAAAATTCATTAATCCAAAATTGGTTATGAATAAATCCTATTTGCATAAATTTCTACTAAGAAACTGTCATTTACAAAACGGGAAATCTGGCAGGGACCACCCTGGATAAAATATGAATATATATTTCTATATTTTTATCCCTGTGTAAGTGTGACCTCTCTGTCAAACTTAATTCTTTTGTCTTTCTATATGTGTTTTTTTTTTTTTAAATTAATCACAAAGTTGTCTTCCCTGAAAGATACTTCAGGAGAAAGGAGCTGAGTGAGACGCTTGACTTTAAGAAGGACACGGATGACCAGGAGAGCCAACATGAGAGTGAGCAGGACTTCTCACAAGGACCTTGTCCCACTGTCCGCCAAAAGCTCTGGGATATCCTGGAGAAACCTGGGTCTTCCACAGCAGCCAGGATCTTCGGAGTAATCTCCATCATTTTTGTGGCAGTGTCCATCGTCAACATGGCCCTGATGTCAGCTGAGCTAAGTTGGCTCAACCTCCAGCTGTTGGAGATCTTGGAATACGTGTGTATAAGCTGGTTCACCGGGGAATTCCTCCTGCGTTTCCTGTGTGTGAAGGACAGGTGCCGCTTCCTGAGGAAGGTGCCGAACATCATAGACCTCCTTGCGATCTTGCCCTTCTACATAACTCTTCTGGTAGAAAGTCTGAGTGGCAGCCACACCACACAGGAGCTGGAAAACGTGGGGCGTTTGGTCCAGGTTTTGAGGCTCCTCAGGGCTCTGCGCATGCTGAAACTGGGAAGGCATTCTACAGGTATTCATATTTCATTTCTCTTTGCTTCAGGCAGATCTCTGTGAGTTCGTGGCCAACTTGGTCTACAAAGTGAGTTACAGGACAGTCAAGACTGTTGTAATGAGAAAGCCCATCTTGAAACCCTCCCCCAAAATAGTCAAACAAACAAAAGAAATTATGTAAATGAGAACATCACCACCTTCCATTCTTATCCACCCCTCACTCTTAAAAAGTACTAGAAAGCAAAATCTTCAAGGTACACAGCTATCTCTCACAGACTTTCTGTCTACAAGGATTGTGGAACAATCTGGTCATCTTTTACCTTCAGTTTAATATAATACAATGCCATATAGATACATATATACATTAAGACATTCTTCTCAAAGGTCAAACATGAAGCATACATAAATGGCATACAAATAAATTATATACTATATATATATGCCATAAGTTATTTTGTTTTCTATTTCCAAAAAAAATAAATATATAGAATTTTGTTCTTGACTGGAGAGAAGAGACTTTCTTAGTCACTGCAGACAAGAGATGGCCAGGTTTTGATGGCCTTCCTCTAGTTTTTTATTAAAAAAAATAGGATTATTTGCTTTGGAAGAAAAAAATTAGTAACTAAATGCCTTACTTGGTATTTGAGAATTTTCTTAAACTTTGAAAAATCAAATGAGCATTCCCTAGAAAAAATACACCTCTCTCTCTCTTTCTTCTCACACCACACACACACACACACACACACACACACACACACACACACATTAACTTGCCCTTGAAAATTACAACCAATGCCAATGGAAATTAAATTAAATTTAGAGCAATTAAAGAGAATTCTTTATGATCTGAAATTAATGGTGCTCAGTAGTTGGTTTTGTGACTACTGAATATTGTTGGGTTATTACAGGCATAATTTTAAAGAAAACAGAATATTCCCATGAGTTTGTTCAAATGTAAATTCTCAACCCCACCTGTCCTAAGGTAAAATTTTAGTATATGTACTACTTTCTGGATCTTGCACTTTAATGTGTATGCAATTAGTTTTGAGCTACATAATTTGGAAGTCATATGTATTTTTGAGAAAGATTGGGCAGTATGCATAATAATATAATACAAATGTATGTACACACAAACAAGTGTATTTACAAAGGATGCTGCCATCAATGTCCACAAATACACCTCTGCATGACCGCAGTAAGGGTCATGGTAGCTACGCCTGCCTATTAATGTAGGAAGAAATTAACCTGCAATTTCTTTTTCTACCTCTCTGTAATTAAGACTCACCCTACAAAATTCTAGTCATGTGTTTTCCTAGCTAGCCTTACACACCAGGGATCTGATGATGGGGTTTCCAAGAACTTTTACAAGTAACATTCTTTGTTTCCTGACACAGATAATGGGATGCTTTCTTTGAGTATTTATAAACTCTTCCCGGGATTCAATTTATAAAACACTGAGAGCTACGTTTTTCCCAAAAGAAAGAAAAAGCGAAATAATAATAGTAATTTCAACAGTGTCACCTCCTCAAAAGTTTTCTCAGTTCTAAAGCAAGTATAAAGGTATTAGCAAAACCTTAATTTATTTAAAGTGTACGATGAATGCGTGAATACTTTATAGCTTTATGTCAAGGAGAGCATTTAGAAAATATGGCCACAAATATCATAAGTTCTTACATATTTGAAACATTCATTGGGAGGTGTTGTATAATAATGGTTAGAATCCCTGACAGTCTTGGTATAAATGCAGGGTTTGTAGCTTTGTTCGAGGTACACCAGCCCTGTTAATGTCAAACTCCATATCTGCCAAATGACACAACAGGGACAAAAGCTGTCACGTGGTACTTTTGAGGGGTAACTAAATTTAGTTATATGGATGATATTTTACCTTTAAGTGTAATCAGTTGTTCTAAACACTGTACGTATGTCAAATAATTTCTTAACTGTCATTCCATATCAACGCATTAGAGACAATTTTCTAATGAGGTATTACAAGGTGACTCTGGAGGTTTTTTTTTTTTTTTGAAGTTAAACTCGCAAGTTTATGTACATTGTTCTTTAAAACTAGGTGATGATGGGGCTGGAGAGATGGCTCAGCGGTTAAGAGAACTGTCTGCTCTCCCAAAGGTCCTGAGTTCAATTCCCGGCAACCACATGGTGGCTCACAACCATATGTAATGAGGTCTGGTGCCCTCTTCTGGCCTGCAGGCACACACACTGACAGAATATTGTATACATAATAAATAAATAAATAAATAAATATTAAAAAAGTAGGTGATGATAAGAATAAAATATCTCAAAATTTGAAGAGAAAACTTCAAAACTTTGGCAATGAAAGAATATGTTGCTCAGTTGTATCTTCTTACAGGAAACCAGTGCTATCCTATGGTTAAAGGAGATAAGGACCGGAATTTAATAAGTATTCTGGGAACTCTAGAATCTTCCTGTACACTGGTAAGAGTGTGTTCTGGGTATACATTTGACGGCTGTGTTGTCACCAGTGTACTCCTGCTTTTCCACTTCATTGCCATGGAATCTACCCCTCCTTTCTATGGAGCATCTCATTCCACTAATCTTTACCATGAGTAAGAAAAAAAAAGGAAAAAATGTATTAGAACAACATCAAAATGATGATAAAAAAAAGACGTACTGAAATGATACATTGGAAAGCAGCTTTGATTATAGGAGCGCTCCACATACATACCTGCCAAAAACTTTGATTCCATCAAATGACAAACTGCTATAAGACACCTCTCTCTATATTTCAGATTCATTTTTTACATGAAAAAAATAAAAGCATAAACAGCATAAACTCAATAATTACCAAGTGAATTCATGAATGTAGCTACATTTCTCTTTATCCTTCAAACCTGGCCCCACCATCAAGACTATAAGCTTCCCGAATACAGAGGTCATAATGACGTCTTCATTGTATCTCCAGAACATTGCTCAGCATATTAGTTATGCAGAACATGTTTGTGGGTGGATTGCAAGAAGGGAGAGGGGAAGGAGAGAAGGAAAGCAGAAGGATGCTCGAGCCTGACAGCTGCTCTTCTCTTGCAGGATTGCGCTCACTTGGGATGACAATCACCCAGTGCTATGAAGAAGTTGGCCTACTGCTCCTGTTTCTATCTGTAGGAATTTCTATATTTTCTACCATAGAATACTTTGCAGAGCAAAGCATTCCTGACACAACCTTCACAAGTGTTCCTTGTGCATGGTGGTGGGCCACAACATCAATGACTACAGTAGGATATGGGGACATTAGGCCAGACACCACCACAGGCAAAATCGTGGCCTTCATGTGTATCCTGTCAGGAATCCTTGTCTTGGCCTTGCCTATTGCCATTATTAATGATCGCTTCTCTGCTTGCTACTTCACCTTGAAACTCAAGGAAGCAGCCGTGAGACAGCGTGAAGCTCTCAAGAAGCTTACCAAGAACATTGCCACTGACTCCTATATCAGTGTTAACTTGAGAGATGTCTATGCCCGGAGCATCATGGAGATGCTTCGATTAAAGGGCAGGGAAAGAGCAAGTACTAGAAGCAGTGGTGGAGATGATTTTTGGTTTTAAGTTTACTTGCAAAATCGGTGTACATTTGACTGGATTGATGAAGCCACTATGGATATCTGTATATTGATGATGAGTTTCTTGAACACTTCTCATCTTCTTTCTGGTGTATTGATTTCCTAGAATATTTAACGTCTCCTATAGCAACCACTGATTATTTTGACGTACTTCTCTTCACCATAGCTAACTGATACAGTCAAAATTACTTGGGAAAAGAAATACATATCTAAATTTTCAGATATTAGTTGATATAATGTCATACACCTAACTTTAAAGATTCATGTATCATTGTTTTAGATTTCCACAGCTTTGGGTATTTTTTTAATCAAAGTTTACCTGTTCATCCCAGAGGGAAAAAAAAATAAGTGAACATTTAAAACCACACCAAACATCTTTTGGCTATTTAGAAATAGTCTCCAAATGAATTACTTTTTCTCTATATAAATTAAAGCTGTTGGGTACAATGATAAGCTTTGCAAGCAAACATGCAAACCTGGCGACCATAGCGACTGCTTCATCTTCCATCAAGTGCAAATCACCGGGGCCCTCGCAGACAGAGCTCTGCCCTTCGTCATTCCAGTTGCAAGGGACCTCAAACTGCTGAGTGCAGGGGGTGAGGCTTCAAGTGCCGAGACAGCGTCACCATCGCAACTGAGTGCGAGCTGTGAAGGAGACAGCAGCACAGTTCTTTGTGAAACTTCAGACGGTGTGTAAAATGTCTCATCGTGGATGAATTATTTAAGTCATGCCTTCAAATTCATGAAGTCATGAATATGTAGAAGTGGTTAAGATCCTAAATTTATTCATTGAAAAGATTAGATAGTCTTTTTATAAGTGAAAATGTGTTGAACGGCATCATTAGATGAACTCGAAGATCTTTTTATTGGTTAAAATTTTATTGGTGGAAGGCTTTCTGATTGTTGAGGTAAATCACAAATGTTCAGACTTTGCAGGCACTTTGACAGTATTTGTGGTAATGATACAATGCCGAAATGTTGTGGCATATACTTAAAGCCAAAAGTTTTAAAGTTAAGAAATAACCCCGGTTCTAATATAAAAGTGAGCAATTTTTACAAAAGCCTAGCAAAGGATTTCCTTATTGCCTACTTTCTTGATGTAAGCAATAAAGTTCCTAAAGAAAATAAAATTGGTTCTGGGTCAGAAATCTTACTCTTTGATTTATAAAACAAATCTACATGCAATGCATATGTGTACAGAATAACTACAGTGTCAAACCTTCATAGGGGATAGAATTGGGGGAAAACAGATGATAGCTTGCTGAAGTAAATGGTAGTGAGCATTGAAGAATCTTTTGCTTTAATCCTGGGGTGATAATGCAAGCCCATAATCCCAGCACAGAGGAGAAACATAAGCTTGGGGCCAGCTTTTAAACGTATAAAATATTAATACCACAGACGCAAGGCAATACTTCCTGTTTTCTGGTGTGGATGCTTAAATTCTGGACAAATTTTCATTTCTATAGCAAATTTCATTAAGTTATATCCTAAGGTACTTTAATTTACTTGGCTTGTGTGTACTTCTACTAAAGATTATAAGAAAATTGCAAAAAGTGAATAATTTTAAAATAAATTTGCATTTATTTTAAAGACAGGTTATTACTATATAGCCCAGCTCGCCTGGACCTTACAATGCAGACCAAACCATATGCAGACTCTGAAACCTCTGCCTCCCTCTGCTTCCAAAGTGCTGGGTTTAAATTTGTGCACTCCCACATCCAGCAATAGTTATCTTACAAAAAGACGTGGAGTCTAGAGCAAGTCTGGGCACCCCTGGCTATTGCACAAATCTGTTCATTGTCTGAATGGGTAGGAGACGTCAGACACAGAGAACAAATTTACTCTGGGCTTTCTAGAAATGTCTCCAGCAAGAATTGTTCCTGGAGTATAATCTGTAGTTTCCCTCAAATATCCCAATTATATAATTACTGTTTTGTAGTCTTTTAATTTATTTTACTTTTTAAAATTTAGAATAATTTTTTTCATCTAATATATTTTGCTTATGGCTTTCCCTCTTCCAACTTCTTTGAGAGCCTCCCTACCTCCCTCACATCCAAATCCATACCATGTCTGCTCTCCCTTATAAAACAAATGGGCATCTAAAGAATAATAATTTAAAAATAAGATTTTAAAAGACAAGCAGGAGTAGGATAAAACAACCAAAAGAAGAAATGAGTTGAAAAACAAAACGAAACCACAGGAAGCACATATAGATGCACACACACACACACACACACACACACACACACTTACACACAGAGGAATCCCATAAAAACACAAAACAGAACCCACAATATATACACAAAGTATCTGTAAGGTTACAAAAAAATGCCTTGACAAGACATTATGAGACAAAGAACCTTGAAAGATATCACTGAGTTTGTTTCTTGGTTTTATATCTACTACAGAGCATTGGGTTTGTAGCTGCAGTGAGACTCCAATGGAAAGAACTCATTTTTTGTTTATGAGTGATTATGAGTTGGTGATGACTTCTAGGTTAGGGTTGGGACTGATATTAAATTTGCCCCTTGCTCTGGGACTCCATCTATGCAGACCCAGGCAGGCTGTGGGTCTGCTGTCACAGTCTCTGTGAGGTCCTATGTGCATCAGTCCTATAATACCGAAAAAGTTGAGGTCCCTCCATGCCCTCTATCTGCGTCTTTTTCCACATGGTTCTCTGAGCCCTGCGGGGAGGAATTTGATGGAGATATTCCATTTAGGACTGAGTGTTCGTTTTTAAGGTCTCTCACACTCTGCACCTTTTCTGGCTGTGGACCTCTGTATTTGTTCCAAACTATTGCAAAAGGAAGCTTTTCTAATAATAACTGAACAAGACAGTGATCTATGAATATAGCAACATATCATTGGGAGTCTTTTTGTTCTACATTCCTTAAGCAGAAAGGCAGTATTTAGTGTTCCTCTTAGGTCTCCGATTTGTTGAGTCTCATGTTGACCATTCAAGCAGTGTTGGGGTTGGGTTCTATCTCATAAAGTAGGCTTAAATCAAATCAGATATGGTTGCTCACTCTCATAAGCTTTTTGTCACTATTGCATTCGCATATCTTGAAGGCAGATCACCATTGTAAATGAAAGGGTTTGTAGCTAGGTTGATCTTTTCCTTTGGTAGTGCACAGAGTAACTTCCAGTAGCATAGACACTAGTACATAGTGGTAAAGCCTCTAGGTAGGAACCAGTTTGACTTTTCTGTGTTTAGAGAATTGCGTAGTTGTCTTCAGCAATATAGCCTTACTGTCAGTTTGTGGAGTGCAGCCAATAACTTTGGCAATAGCCTGGGTTATTGGAGGCTCCCATGGGGTCCCTTCGGCCAACATCTAAATTGGATATAATCCATTCCTGCCTTCATTTACCAATGAAAGATGTCTAGTTGGGGCTCTGTTGTAGAATACCATTTTAAGAATACCATATTACATTTGTTTATGCTGTGGAACATATGTTTTAACTATTCAAAGATGTGTTGCATTCTTTTCTGTTGCATTTGTTTACATCTGTGAAGATGTGATTATTTGCCTATCCAAAACACCTGATTGTCTAATAAAGAGCTGATCAGCCAATAGCAGGCAGGAGAAAAGATAGGCAGGACAAGAAGACAGAGAGAATAAATAGAAGAAGAAATCTGGGATGAAAAGAGGAAGGAACAACAGAGATCAAGGACTGAAAAAAGCAGTGACCAGTCACCCAGCTAGCCATGAACTAAGAGCGAAAGTAGGATTACAGAAGTAAGAAAAGGAAAAACCCAGAGGCAAAAATAGACGTAATAATTTAAATTAAGAAAAGTTGGCTAGAAACACGCCAAGATTAAGCCAGGCATTCGTAAGTAAGAATAAGTCTCTCTGTGTGTGATTTATTTGGGGAGCTGGGTGGCAGGTCCCCCAAAAGAGTAAAAAAACAACCAACAGCAGGGCTTCCTCCCTTCCCTCACTTGGTCCTCCAATTCCTGCCCCACCCAATCCATCCATAACTCTCTATTCAATTTCCCCTTCCTATCAGAGACAACCCTTCCCCCAGTACCTTACTTTATACCTATTTACCAATTCAACAAATATTTACCTCAAATCCTATGAGTACTGATCATTAGACATCATTTGCTAATCAAGAAGAAATCCTGTTCTCTTGTATTTAATATCCTTTCCAATAACATGTGGCAAAGCCAAATGACAAAAGGGTGACTTTGGGAGACAGAACCTTACCCACATCCACAGAGGCACCAAATAGCAAAGTCAGAGAAACAATAACCAATCTATTTGACTCTGAAAAAAAATCATATTGCAGATTTTACCCATATAGTCACTCTGCCTTAAGAGAAGCATTTGAAGATGTGAGATTGCATTTACAAAAGATAAGTTGTGGGAAAACTTGTAGTTTTTATAGCACAACCACAAACTGTCTTTAGAATAATCGAAAGTTGAAATTTTACTATGAAAATTATATGTATATGTTCACACATACATCAACTTTAATGAAAACAGAGCATCTTAAAATATTCTCTACAAATATGATTTATTAACTATGTAAATTTTGTTAAGATATAGACATTTCTAAAATTATTTAAGTTTGAAATACTTTATACTACAATTGCTTAGGTGAATTTGCTGGTTTAAAAAGTGCTAACATACTTATTCAGTAAATATACATATAAGCAAACCTGATTAGTTTACAGATAAACCAAATGAGAACTCTGCCTACTTTATGTGCATGATTATGGAAACATTAGGCATTCTTCAAAAATTTATGAATGGCTACTGTAAAGCAATATTGAATTTATTTAGAAATCTAAAATAAAGAAATAAAGTATTGTCTTTCTCTAAGCTATTTAGAGAACACAAATTAAAATCATTTCAAAGACCAGTGAGATAGCTCAGCAAATAAAGATATCTGCTGCCCAGACCCATCCTAAGCTGAAGACTCTAGGAGCCTGATGACATAAAGAAAGAACTGAAACCTGACTGCTTTTTTGGACTGGAAAGG